GTTATCCGGGCGCGAGTTATCGAGGGAGTGGTGTACCTGCTTATGTGCCCTAACTCATCCAAGAAGAATGAACTTAATTCTTCTAGAACTGTCTTAATTGATCTATCTAACAGGAAAAATTGCAAATCTCAGACATGTTTACTAATAATTCTATTATTAGCAACTGTCAAGACATACATAATTATTGATACTATGTAATTTTATGCTTTAAATGTTCACTAAAACAAAACCCTAGTCACATAGGCAAAATCTAACTAAAGATAATCTAAACAATTTACAGCCATGAACAAAAATTACAAAGAATTAGATAAAATCATGTACCAGGAATATTTAAATACATATAATAATTTAGGTGATGACCATAATATTTACCCAGTTTCATGGCAATCCACCACGAACCGATGGACTACTTGTTCTAATGAGATTGTATCACACATAATGCATCAAGATGCAAGATAAAAAAGCCAATAAATCTAACAAAATTTGCAGGAATATTGATATGCATATTTTCAGGTAATGGCAATAATAATTTACCAAATTAATGATAATCCGACAAAAAATGCAGGATTATGCTACACAAATTGTCATACACTGCATAATAGCTAGGAGACAAAAAGGCCAAAATCTTTAAAAATACAGCTGAAACTAGGTGATTTGTTGACCTACTAATGTGTATTTACTTACCTATATGTAGCCACTATTTTCTAGGGTCATGGCCATACATAAAAACCCCAAACCCCAATTTGTTAAGGACTTTTTGATCCCTCCCCAGATAGATAGATAGATAGATAGATAGATAGATAGATAGAGAGAGAGAGAGAGAGAGAGAGAGAGAGAGAGAGAGAGAGAGATAGATAGATAGATAGATAGATAGATAGATAGATAGATAGATAGATAGATAGAGAGAGAGAGAGAGAGAGAGAGAGAGAGAGAGAGAGATAGATAGATAGATAGATAGATAGATAGAGAGAGAGAGAGAGAGAGAGATAGATAGATAGATAGATAGATAGATAGATAGATAGATAGATAGATAGATAGATAGATAGATAGATAGAGAGAGAGAGAGAGAGAGAGAGAGAGAGATAGATAGATAGATAGATAGATAGATAGATAGATAGAGAGAGAGAGAGAGAGATAGATAGATAGATAGATAGATAGATAGATAGATAGATAGATAGATAGATAGATAGATAGATAGAGATAGATAGATAGATAGACAGACAGACAGATAGATAGATAGATAGATAGATAGATAGACAGACAGACAGATAGACAACAGACAGACAGATAGATAGATAGATAGACAGATAGATAGATAGATAGATAGATAGATAGATAGATAGATAGATAGATAGATAGATAGATAGATAGATAGTCTTCTGTCTGTTGAGACCATAAGCATATGAAACTGATCAGTGACTTTCTTACATACCTTGTCCTATTATCTGTAGTGTGACCTTCAAATTAAGGTAACTTAAAAGCTTAATTGTTCAGATTTCCTGTCCTAATTGCACATACCAGTACAAAAGATAAAACAGCTTTCAAATAAATAGATAACTCTCCAGGTATTCCATTAACCAACATTAATCACTGAGGCTTCCAAATTGTTATAAATTGGAAAATTGGCAAGATGTGAAGGTTACTTACCCAACTCAGTACAAGTAAAGATCAAAACATGAATTAATGCCAACATTTTTCTATCTATCTATAGTCACATTTAACTCAGATGATGGTATGAGTGTATATACAGTCACTTTTAAATATGTAGTAGTGTTCCTTAAATGCATTTATGATTAGAAAAAAAAACCCACAAAAGATTATTGAAAAATAACCTTCATATCTTCAGTAAAGCAAATTCAGCGAATTTCTGTACCTAGCCTACTACGGGGAGTTCACAGCTATTGAGTTACTAGGCAAATATGAGAAGTCACCAGGTTTAACATTTCTATCCCCCAAAGATGTTCAATTCAATGTTCAAAAAGAGAAAGAAACTGATCAATGACCCTGATTTTGAATGTAACATGTGCAGTACACAAAATTCTATAAAACAAAAAAAAAAGTGTACTGGTTCATTGCTGAACCTTTAACATTTTAGTTTCCTTTTCTTATACAGGATATGGGGCCCCCGAGTGGCCGAGTGGTCTAAAGCGCTGTCTGTTACGGATCACTGCCATCTCACCTCTGTCTGTGTGGGTTCGAGTCTAGGATTCGGCAAATGTGGATATGTGAGAAAGCTTGCCAGTAGCTTCTCATGGGTCGTTGGTTCTCTCCAGTGATTTCCCTGTTTCTTCCTCCAACATTAATACTGGCCGCCATGAATAGCCTATCATGTGCTGAAAAATGGCATTAAACCCAACAACATTTTTTACTAGATATAGCCAATATTGCATTAAATTAGCCATTAAAAACCAACTTCATCTAACTTACCTAACTATCAAACAGTTGTTAAGATCTAAAGCAAAAACAAAACCTTGAAATATATACATGTGACCTTCACCTGGATAATAGAACCCCAAAAGTAGAATGCAACATATCTCACAGTGACAGAATACAAGTGTACCAAATTTAATTCATTCAATCTTCTTAAAGAGTTCATAAATTATTGAGTGGTAGCTAAAAAATGCATTTTAATACATCACAGAAAAAAGTAAGTTAGATGTATTTAGTGCTGAGGCAACTGGAGTAAAGTGACCTTCAAAAACCTAAAATACTGGCATTGACCTTGATGACAGGACCTTTTATGACAAATATTGAAGGATTCATTCCTCATTCTCAGATGGCTCTAATGTTAAACAATCAAAAGTCAAGTATGAAAAAAAAATTAAAACTGTGACCCATGACATGATCTTAAAGATTGGATCCCAACTGAGGTATGTGACACATATTTACCAGTAATTTTATATAGACACAAAATTTCATCTCTTAATTTCAAACTGATTTTAAATTATTGAGAATTGACTTCCATATTGTACTACAAGAGACATTGAAAATGTATAAGTATACAAACTTTCACCTCTAAACCTGAAAGGGCAACTAAACTACAAAGAAGAAATTAATTTGAATGAAAACTTAAAATTGAAAATGTATAAGGATACAAAGTTTTGCCCCTAGACCTGAATGTCCTAAAAATTCAGATCTGCAGCAGTTTCCCAATATGGATTGGCACAGGCATGCATACAACTCTGTCTTTGCTTGTAGTTAGTCTAGAAAAGTCAGGATTCAATTGATACTCAATTCTGAGGGACCAAGACTGGTTTATGACTAAGTTCATCCCCAAGTCCAGTGATAGAATGAGCTCTCACTTTTCAAAGCTGTCTAAAAGACCCAATCAAGCTACTGTGGACCAAATATGGAGTGGAATCTCATGGAAGTCTGAACCTGAACACTGTGGAAGTCAGTCATCATAACACTTAAGAACTGGGATTCTCAGTAATCATAGGTAAGCCACTACTACTCCCATAACTTGGATCAATACTCTGGGTGGGGAAGCAATTTTGAACATCAGAATCAAGAACTGAAAAGTATTTGCAGTGTGGAGGAAATAATGGATTGTGTAAATTGGCAACGGTTCCTCCTGAAGAAACCAGTTTAAAGGGGATTGATTGATTATGACACTAAACTTCAAGCTTTTCTTGATGACCAGGAAATACTTGGAATAGAATCAGGACACTCATGAATGCTCCTTTCTGCAAAAGGACATCTCAAATCATTATGAAATGTAAATTGTTATGTATATCCATATTATGTGCTTGACCTTTGACAATGATTAAGGGTAGAGACGTTCCCAACATGACTATTGCTATCTATCTTTTTTACAATATTTACAAAAGACTGGGTTTAAGGACTAACCTTGTTACAAGTTTGGTATGTTCTAGAAGTGACAATATTTTGGAATTTTCCACTAGCTTTTTTTAGAAAGTCCTACTGCAACATAGGTCAAATAAGCATGTGTGTGTGTGTGTGTGTATATATATATATATATATATATATATATATATATATATATATATATATATATATAAATGTTGTAAACAGTCTTCATTCATATCTTAAGTTCAGTATGTGGAATCATTTTCTGCTGTATTCAGTTATAATTTGACAGGAATTTACTTTTTTTTCATCGGAATTACAAAGCAATCATTAACTTTTGGTTTTATAAACACTATTTTGGGATTATTGAGAACTCAAAGACAAAATGGGTATATCATTATTGTACATCTAGATATAAATGATCTTTGGTACATCAGCACATTCAAGGCTACTGGAATTTTATTTAGAATATTCTGTACTTTTGGACTTGTGATTTAAGATTATTTAGGATTTAATTTAAAATACTGTACAAGTTTTGAATTTCCATTTTGTATTCAAGGGAAATAAATTTATTTGTTGATTCTAATCAACTTGTTTTGCTTCTTTCTCATCAAATCAAAACTGTATTATCATCTTTCACAACATTTTTAACCCATGGAAATTCTTCACTCTTCCTTTATTTTTATTATAAACTTAAGGAGATTTATTCTCTTTCTTCTCAAAATTGTTACAAACTTTCTGTTTCTTTAGAGTCTGAGGGTCAGAATGATCATCATTGGCAGGAAGTTTCTGAGACCGAGACAGAAAAAAATATACTTCTTTGAGCCAATGTGATTTAACAGCTCATAAAATCATCCAAATATAACAAAATAATACCATCTTGTTATTCAATCGCAAGCAATTCTAAAGCACAAAATAAATCACTGAGCATAAAGTCTTACTCAATTATATAATTAACACATGAAATTTTAAATTTGCTGACTGAAGCAATTTAATTACCAATGAAACACAATTCAAGTTTGTCAACTTACTTTTGACAATTGGCCTGGTACACTGCCATATTACCAGTTTGGGTGATTGATCATAATTTGATGTGCAATCAAACAAATGTTGATATTTGATCAAAAGTTAATCTAATCAAGTTATAACTGATTCCAAACTTTAAAATGTTTTGCCACTTGAAGCATACTGCTCTGGTGGCTTAGTTGTTAAAGTGTTTGCCTTGAATGTGGGAGGTTGTGGGTTTGATCCCCAAATGAGTCATACCAAAGACTTGCAAAAATGGTACTGACAGCTTGACATTCAGCATTAAGATGTTAGTATTAGGACTGGTCAGCCTGGTGTCAGAATAATGTGACTGGGTGGGACATCTTGCTACATGTCTGCAGCATGATGCCCCAGTGCTAGACATCACTATAAACTGTCGCACTGCAGACATCATAGCGATATGACTGAAAAATTGTTAAAGCTATGTTAACAATACAAATCATACAAATCACTCATACCAGTTGAAGCAAACTAATTGATAATATAAAACAAGAGTTTGTCCACTTGCCTTTGACAAATGGCTTTGCAAGCTACGATATTTTCTCATTTTATTTCATGATTATAATTTGATGGCAATCAAACACCAATATTTGATCAATATTTAATCCAACCAAGTCAAAACTGATTATATCTTCCTCTATCATAAGCATCAAAAATAATTTCTAAACAATCAAACTTGGATTCAATTACTTACTCCTAAGTGAGACATCAGTGACCTGTTAAATCTGCCCAGTTCATACTGATTTTACATAAGTGAAATATCAACTGCGGATAAAGATATAGTGTAAACATTAGCTACTAAATGTCATTCACTGGTATATACATAAATTTGTTATGGAAAGTACACACTCACTAGAACTATGCCAGAGGTAAATCAGTGGTAATTAGGACTTATACTCCAGCCAAAATCTGTGTCATGAAAATGCACATGTTGGAATACATTGTTTTTAAATTCCATTTGTCAAAACCTAAAGGTATTCATCTAATGAGAACCCTGTGACTGTATTCAATTAAGCAGAAATGTGACCTCTCTAGACTCAATTATCTGTTTTTCTACCACTTAGTCCTTAATCTAGGAGGGTAAGAAAAGCCATGTTGCTATAAAAATTTAGTCCAGATTCGATCCTCCTGTGAACATATGAACATCAGAGAGTTGTGCTCTCAAATTCATGTTTCCATACCAGCAGTACCATACAGCCCTTTCATATTGTACACATTATTATCAGCAAAGTACAAACTTATGTGTTCATGAACTTTACATTTTTGGTATTATTGGTTAGTCAAGTTTGGAAATCTTGCTTGAAATGTATGTATGCTTCCTTCTGGCTATTTAAAAAAATTTCTAATTGGATTTGTAGTCTAGTAAAGCTTTCTAATGGAGGCCCTCAAGTTTTTTTTGTGGGACCTTGGCCACTGTTCTTTTAAATAAGTGTCCATTGATGGGACTGGCACTCTAGCAGCCAGAAGAAATTTCCAGTAATCTATATACTAAAATTTGATTACCATATATCTATATACAGGCCTATCTGCAAACTAGATCTCAACAGATGGCCTCAAACTTGACCAACAAGGTGTTCTCTACTTTGACTTTTTTGTTGTTGGTCTAGCCTTAGATCACAAATCTTTTCCTTTGAGGTTGAAAAATTGAGATGATATTATGAAAAAAATAATACTAAGTTCAAAGGTGTACACCATAGCTGACTTGTTTGGAAATGTTAGATGTTGATAATAAAATGCTAGACTTCAAAACTTACAAAACTTTATAGACTGTTAAAATTTCCTGCTTTGTAATGAAGATAGTGACATGTCAAATGTCAAGCACTTTTGTTACTTCTCTTGTGTCAGTCTGTTTACTGTCTTAATACAAAAATAAAAACTGGTCAACCCATGACAAAACATTTTGGATTTTCTTGTACTTAGGTGACCTAGTATGCATAGAAAATTACATAGGTCTTTCAGTAAGAAAAGAAATACAACAATGACTTGTTATACATCAAAGAAGGAGGCCAGATCATCAATCATACAATGTGCAGGTAAATCTTTTTGTTAGACATTTATTAGCAAAACAAAATGGACCCTGTTCTGCTGGTGCATTATACAATAACAGATTAGGGTACATGTTGTTTGCAGCTGGTTCTGACTTGCATGTGAGTATATATGATATATTGCTTTAATGCTTAGATAGCTTCTCATCTCTGACACGTGCATGCAAGAGCCTGCATCATGCCTCTGCACCTGATCATCTACATTACATTTCTGTCTCCCCAAACTGGCACCTGATCATCTACATTTGATTTCTCATATGCTCACGTTCCCTGAAAGAGACTCAGATTAATGCAGACTTATATGTGAAAGCCTTGAATCTCAAAACCACCAGCGGCTCAAAGTATGTTGTGACCTATAACACCCCCCCAAAAAAAATTAAAAATGGAGATTACATTATCACTCAGGCATGGAGATTAGTTTTTGCTGAATAAATTTAACTTGATGTTGTTCACATCTCTAAGTTATTTATCTGGATTTTCATAACATCAGATTTAAAAAGCCGGTGCAGTGGCATATCAACAACCCAAGCAACACACACAGCTGCTAGGGGTGGGCTGGGGAGGATTAAATTTCCATCAAACAACTTTCTTTATTGGGATGGGGTCCAACAATTAAGCTTTGCTCGGGTGGGGGTAAAGTTACTTGCTATGCAAAATACCTGGGGCTTCATATTTGCCAAGTCAGAATTGTTTTGTCATCCAATACAGTTTGGAAAATATTTTACAAATTGTTTTTTTTTTAAAAAAAAAATATTATCTTCTGTTGCAATATACCATGTCATCCCAAGCCTAAGACTGTCTTTAATCACTGATGGTTTTTTTTTTTTTTTTTTTTTTATAAATAGCCTATGATTACAGTTGGAAGGAGAGATGAAATTGCGTAACTGGTTCTAAGATGTGTGCTTAAGTGCTAGTTTAAGCTTTGATTTAGGAACAATTTTGCCGTATAATAAAAAAGATTATGTTCTTCTCTATTATCGATACTAAATGTAATTTATCTTGTACAACAAAAATATATACATTTTAACTCTTGACTTCACCACTCGTTAATAGCATTTTTTTTTCTTCACACGATAGAATATATTCCGTATTAATGCAGGAAAGGAAAACACCCTCCAGGGCTCACACAGTAAATATATTATTTATAGATGTACAATACAGTAGCTGAATATTGAACGCACTCATGTGTTCTGTGTACATAAACCGATTTAAGAGTCAGTCGGCTACAAACGCGTATGATAACATTATAGATATGATTGTGAGAAAAACAATCCGTAACCAAGAAAACTTTTTTCTGTACACTTACATTTTGTTTTGTTTGTCTATCATACATACATTTCCTAAATTTCTATCTACTAATTTCTGCTGACACTTATTTCTAAGCAGACCATTTTCAATACATTTTTTTTTTAATAATGCATTTCTATTTCATAACATGTGTATGTATAACAAATAGCTTATAAATCCGAACATATTCCGATTGATTACTAGCATTTGGATCAACTTTGCTATTTCTGCAGTGTATGATTGACCTAGGTCAGGGAACCAGACTACCTTGCATAGTCTTACTATATAATACGTATCACATGTTGTTTATGTTTTAGGGCTAGGTCTTACTATCCAAATAATGGCCTTTAATAGCGTGTTCCGATGTTGGTTGACATCGGAACGAGTAGTCAAAGTTTCAGGAATATCTCACACACTTGGCAACCTATATCGACACTCCTCCACTAATTTATATGTAATTAATATACTTACTGTGCTGTCTTTATCCTGGTGGAATCAAAATCTGACACTAGTAAAATGGACGCATTTTCATGTTCATAAGACATACATTTGAATTTGTTGCAATGCAACAGTAGTTGAGATATGCCGAAAATATGTTCAAGTAGGTTCATGTCAGGGATATATTTCTTAAATTAAACGAAACGTCGCTTACAGTTTTAATAGGCATATATTGTTTTTTCGTTTCATTAAAAATAATATTTCAACTTAATTTGATTTTTGTCTTTCTCGGATTTCACTGCTTTCCAGCCAAATGAAATGAGCTTATGGTCATTCTTTACCCAAGTTGTTTTATACCCAGAGAAAATTAGTTGTTTCATACCCAAGTTGATGGTTATTTTGTACCCAAGGTGCTGACCGTTTCGTACCTATGGTGCTAGTCGTTTTGTACCCAAGGTCCTGGTTGTTTCGTACCCAAGGTGGTGGTCGCTTCGTACCCATAAATTTACAAGGTCAAATATACAGTATTGTCGTATTTTCCTCTCCCGCTCTAGGCCTAATCTTTCTCCTACCTTAAGAATTGCACGAGCAAATCATATCCAGGCATAAACATTTAACGAACACAAATGATTACAGTAATTGCACTGTTTCACTGTATAATAGTAATGATGTACTATTTAATGAATTAACAAAAATTCACAAGGCCAATAAAAAGAAAAAGAAAACGTTGGCCAGGCTTAAATAACTTAATAAGTCCATCCTTATTGCAATCGTTCAAGTTAACAAACATTGTCCTATTTCTTGGTATTATTTAGTAATGTCTAACGTGACTGACCCCCCAACACAATACAAATGTTTATCCTCTCAAAGCAACTATAAATTCTACGATCTTTTAATAATGGGGCTTCTCCAATGACCAATATTGGTGTTAATTTCAATTTTTATCTCCTGCTTTTAAAAGTGTTTACAGTGGTATACTATACAGACCGCCAAGCCATTTTTTAGAGGGGGGAGGGTTGACTGTCGGGCGCATTATAGCATAATTGTGCACAGTTTTGGACAATTTCATCGATCTCAAGGAATTAACAAGTTAGTGACATAATTGAAATTCCCCCTCTTTGAACTAATTATAAATATTAATATTTTTCATTGCAAGTGAATATTTGTTTCATTCTTTGACATAATCTTTTTTTATTTTGTTATCATCCTAAATATAACGCACATAAATGACCGCGTAGAGAGAGAGAGAGAGAGAGAGAGAGAGAGAGAGAGAGAGAGAGAGAGAGAGAGAGAGAGAGAGAGAGAGAGAGAGATTTAACTGGCACTGCATTTTAGATATATTTACTTCTGTGTTTTAAAAATGATGGATTTAATTTTTTTAGTAATCGAAGAAATGTATAAATGTTTTTTACTCTGCCAGTATTATAATGTTTATAATACTGCATCCCATGTAATAC